ATAAAGTTTAAGGCTTGTCAGAAATGTCTTAATACTGAACATGACTCATCAGAATGCAACTACAAACTCCAATGCAATGAAACTACCAAACATTGTACATAACAATAAATCAAACTTAACATTACAGTGCTTTCTGTGAGAATACTGTATATTTAAGGAATTTATTACATTGGTGAGATTTTTGTTTTGTTGGTGTAGTTAAAGCCTGCTGGTTTCGAAGTGTCCCTAAGACTAATCATGCTAACGGGGCTAACACTTGACGTCCAAATGTCTGTGGTAAAACTCACCCAACAAGTCGTGCTATCGGGTAACGTTACGTCGGAAAAATATCTCCCGACTGCGGACGACGTAGCGAGGCTCAACGTAGTCTATAAATTTTCAGAATCTGACATCTTCACCAACGAAAAATAAAACTTCCACACCGCCGACATTTTGAATTTTCCTCTCCGCCGTGAGCTCGCGTGACGTCATCGCGTTGCGCTGCAACGTCGTCATGTTGTGCTGCCACTACAGGCAAAAACAGCGCCTTTTATTTCGTCAAGTTATTTTAATGGAATGGCCTATGTCCGAAATTAAAATTTAACGCTAATATCGGCCAATACCGATACCATGCTGATATCGTGCATCCCTACTAGAAAGCCCCTTCACACATAAAGGAATAACAAAGGATTGGGATGCCCTTCCACCTGACATGAATGCACAAAATGTAGCGGTAGGGTAAAACAATCAAGAGAAAAGGGGGAAATGGGATTCAACTTTATTCATTGACTTCACATACTGATTTGTAACACTGACAAATGAGCAGACCCCTTGAATGGAGGTGTTTTATTTAAATATATGCAACTTTTAATGACATGTTTTAACTACAACCTAATCTTTAGCTTTCCTTAGTGAAGTGTTGACATAATCATGGGGAATCCCTCTCCCAGCTGTTCTGACACGCAGAGCAGGAGTCTTGTATAGTGTGTGTGTGTGTGTGTGTGTGTGTGTGTGTGTGTGTGTGTGTGTGTGTGTGTG